CACTTGGAAATAGAACGGCGTCGAAAGGCCGGATTGCCTTTAATAAGCAAAGACCTGATTGATCCGAAAAGAGTGGCACAACAATTGCCGAGTGAAGAGGAACTTCGGGACTTTGATGTCCTTATTTAAAGTATATTAATTGCTCCTGATCCCAGATCGTGAAATCTTCTTGCAAATGCTTCTTATTGGAGTAGCAAGAAATTTAAAAGAAGCGTTCTTGTTCAGTCTTTTACCTTGAAAGCTGTATAAACAGTAAGTTCTACGAGTATTTTTCTTGTAGTTTAGTAAGTCTGGGTTTTATAGTTATTGCGGTCCTTCCACGTCTTGTCGGCTTTGTAAAAAAGATGCTGGACTGTGTTGTAGATGTTAAATCTTTCTGTAAATAAATCTTTTGTTTTCTAGTGAAAGGTTTTTGGGTGTAATTCTTCATAGTGCTGGTTGGTGTAGTTATCTCACGCTGAGTTCTCCACAGCTTTTCAACTTTTTTGAAACGTGTTGGGATGTCTTCAAGAAAATGATAAGGGAGATAAAATTTGCATTTACTTCTAATCTGAAACAACATCAAACACTCAAATTTTAGAAATTATATCTTGTTTTTCACATTCTTAGCGATGCGAAACAAACAGGTTTTTGCACTGTTCCACTGAAACCGGCAGACACTTCTTTAAGGCTTCCTTCCTTACGTAATCCACCGAATGGCTCAATGCAGCGCCCAGGCTGTTTGAGGTCGCGTAGCGCCATTATTTCCACGGTTTTTTCCCTAATGGCCTCATTTCTGTTTTTCTGGGTACATTTCGTCGTAGTGAACTGGTTGTAGCCCGTGTAAGATTACCTGAAATGGTAGCTTAGCTTTCGATATTTTTGAGTTGTGCAGCCGTCGTTTTAGCAAACAAGGGTGCACTGCCGGTAAATTGCATAAAACGAATTTGTTTTATATAGACTGACTGATGTCTTATTTGAAAACCTTGCCGAACGTCTGTCCGTCAGGATGCATTGGAATGAGGTTTTTGCGATGGTGGTGCTCTCACTATTGTTTGGAGGAAAATGGGACGCGTCTTCGCAAAAAAAAAATTTTAAGTGCAACTTTCTCTTCCTATTCCTGTACTTTTCAGAGGGGGGAGGAAGGTGGACCCGAGTAGGCTCTAGTATTCAATTATAAAAATTGCCTTCTGACTAAATGAGAAGTTGCCTTAGTCTAATGAAATTACTAATTAAAGGCAGTTACAGCATGCCGGCTGGTCGATTCAAACTCGTTTGGATGCTTTGCACCTAGATTTTTTGTAGACAACATCACCATGCTATAAGCAATGTTACAAAGTTACTTTTCTCGATTTGTGGTTTTTTATTTTCGTGGTATTGTGCGGTTAGTCTGAAAATGTCAACTTTCTTCTTATCCTTTTTTGTCAATAAGCCTTCCGGATACCTCTTCTTCCAATAACCATAATCTGCAACAAGTTAAGTGGCGGCTATTAAGGTAGGCGTGCTTAATAACAATTCTCACTACTTTTTTTTCAAATCAAACTAGATTTTAAGAGCTTTAGGGCGTGCTGTTGCGAATTCATTAAAATGAGATTTTGTTTAATTGGATTTCCGAGCTTGACCCCATTTTCCGTTGACCCCTCTCTCAGCTGTGCAAAGAGAATCGGCTCGTATATATGCTAGTGGTTACAAAAAATACTAACATTTTTGGGAGTTGGGGGACTAATGATTGTAGCTATCTTGGACCTGCTTGTAGTTAACAACAACTGATTAAAGACAACAATATTCGTGAGTGTAGGGTAATTGCAAAGAGGTTTGTTCTCGCGTCACTTATTTCTACTTGAAGGTATTACAAAATGTCGATATATGTATGAGACAAATGGGAAGCCAACCGGCTCTGATAAGTGCGGCGTTGTACCCACGTTGACAAAGTGTTGCAACAACATCTCCACCACAGTAGCGTTCGCCGCAGACTGCTACAACTCGCCCTGACATTTTCGCTTCAATCATCGCAGGCGTCTCATACTTTGTTCGACTCAAGCAAAACGGTGAGAAAAGCTCCGCTAAACAGATAATTATCAAGAATCTGACATCAGTACTGATCAAGAAAACAAAGATCATTCGAAGGAAAGCAGTCGGGAGGGAGAAAGAGAAGGGGAATACAATGATTTGTGTATCGAATTTTTGCTTAAAAACAAATAGAAGACTACAAAATTCCCTACAGAACTGGTAATCTGTCATCTATGTTTTTGTTTCCTTATCTTGAAAAGTTAATTGTTCGACGCACTTCCGTCTTTTTCAACATTTTTTAAGTAACAGTCCCAGGACAAGCATATAAAAGACACCGCTGATATGCGTTTAAAAATATCTCAGATATGTCCAATAAATAATTGCCTTTGATTATATGTCCTTTGTCGTATTCTTCGGGCGGTCTTGCATCCAAAATAAGAAGCGAGTCCTCCTTAGTGCTTTCCGCATCTTTCATCAATAATTCCACCTGTAACTGAGTGCTCAGCATCCATTGTTTAGTAATTTCACTACCAGTTATTAATCACTTGTTTAAAAGCTGAAGAATAGTAAGTGTGGACCTTAACATGTCAAAACCAAAAAAAGTAGTAATTGTTGGGGACTCATTAAAACTTAAGATTGGAACTACATTTCCCGAGAAACGGATCACACTGGTGGTCTGTACGGCAAAAAACTTTATGCATAACAATGGCTGCTCAAACGAATGCTTTAAAAGTGATAAAGGATTAGTACTAGTAATAAGAAGTGCACTAACCACTTGGTCGATTGTAATGGCTGGGTAATGATCGCCACTTAGGAGCATCAAGGTTCTTAGCGTTAGTCTTACCGCAGTTAGAGATCCAGCGTAGAAATAACCGTGGGAAAAACCCAACCTTTGCCGTTACCTAGGTAACGAAACAATTGCGTAACTTTAATTGTCCTTTTGTTGCCAGTTACACTGCTTTATTCTCATCATTTAGTCAACTCGCTTCCTTAATGCCCAGTGCTAAGCATAGCTTTCTAAAAACTGCAGCACCGCATTACCTTACAGAAGTTACAATCCCAAGTGTGAAGTTCCTGTTAATGATTGGAGTAAGAGTGGAGAGGTGGTTTGAAAATTCATCTCTGAATTCAGGTCAGTCGTGATCGCTCCTTCTTTGTAACTCTTCATATTTACAAGGCTACAATTGCAAAGCCTAAAACCCAAATGAACCCAAATGCTACGTTATATCTTGCCGCTGTCAAGCTCTACCAAACGTAGGTAAGCCTGATAAACCGCAATTTAACAAGAAGATGCTTAAACTACAGAAGTAATGCACGGACATTGTTGGAATTAAAAATGTGGTTAGAGAGGCGTCGAAAAGGAAATAAGGAAAAGGAAAAAAATACACGCAGATGAAAATATAACCAGCTTACCATAAACCGAACATTACGGATGAACAGCATAAGCTGCAACAGTGCCCAGTGGAATGCCAGTCGACGCCACGTTAAGCACTGCTCGATTCCCTGCGAAAGTCTGCTGAGTTATACAGTTTCTGTCGGATAAAACAGAATAATACCCGAACGAGCGCTCGCATTATTTGAATTTGGGAGGACTTTCATTTCTGGTTTTTCGTTTAGTCATTATTGCTATGTGCTTTGAAAATGATATTCTCGAAGTGGTTTTATGCGGAAATTCACTGTAGAAATTTAGAAGGTGTTTCTGCAGAAAATAAGCGGAACTTGCCTAAGTTGGCGACTTACCGACAAATTTCACATATCTTCATAGGCGCATTCATTTCCAATTTGGTGCGGAAATTTTTTCTTGGCAGGATGAGAGCTACAGTGGTCAGGTCAGCTGGCAACTCATTAAAAGTTGTAACCTACGTCCGCAATAGGGGTTGTTTAGCTGGTTTGTTTATGGAAATCTGCTGATTTTTTGTCGTCATTCAATTCCTCAGAACTCTAGCTATTAGTCTAGCTGTTAGCTGTTGATCTACTGCTATCTCATGTTGATCTGTAGCGTCGTTGTCGAGATATTTGCAGAAATGTGACGTTGAAGCTCGATTTCAAATTGATATTTTTCTGTGATTTTGCTTTGAAAATTGAGAATGTTTAGTTCATACGAATTTTTTTTACATATAAGTTCCTTAAAATGTGCCTTTCAGAAAAATGAATTTTTATTCGGGGGTTTGCCGAGCTTTTTTTTTTGCAAATTTGCTTTCTACCAAAGGCAGTCTTTACAAAGTGTGTTGGTATAATACAGCTGGACCGACTAGCTATATTCGCCTACTAGCAAACTCTAACTTTTTTTTCCTTTTGTTAGGTATTTTGGGTTTTTATTAAATTATATGACAGTTGTCCTGTCCTCGTGACGATTATAAATATATTATATTATATATTATCTATTACTATACATGGTATTATAAATTATATATAACTCAGAATTTCCTTAAATTTTGCTGATTAGTAGAGTCTGGGGTAATGTAAAAAAAGCCGAAAAAAACCTGGAAAAGTGAATTCCCCGCCAAGTTACACCTCTTCAAAGTTATAAAATTTGCCAGGTTGCCACTTGACAAGCTTATTTTGCAGACTTGTAATTTAGGCCGTTTTAAACTGAATTCCATGCTTTTTTGATCATTAGCTTTGCCATATTCTGAACTTTTAAATGCACATTTATTTTTTTGATTCTGTTAAAAAACAAAAAAAAAAAA